TTCCTTCCATCCTCTACTGATGTTTCCAGCATCATTCAATATTCTGCCCATAGAATCTTTCAATATTGCAACTCAAAGCTTGAATTTTTTCTTCAATTCTTTCAGCCGGAGAAATGCCAAGTGTGTTTTTCCTTTTTGGTTTTCTAAGTCCAGGTCTTTGCATATTTCATTATAATAATTGGCTTTGTCTGGTTGAGGTACTCTTTGAAATCTTCTGTTCAGCTCTTTTATCTTGTCATTTCTTCCATTTGCTTTAGCTACTCTCCATTCAAGGGCAAATTTCAGAGTCTCTTCTGACATCCATTTTGGTCTTTTCTTCTTTTCCTATCTTTTTACTGATGTCTTGCTTTCCTTATGGATGATATTCTTGATGTCATCCCACAATTCCTCTGGTTTTCGGTCACTGGTGTCCAATGCATCAAATCTATTCTTGCTCTAAATTCAGGAGGGATATTATCAAGGTCATATTGTGGCTCTTGTGGACTTATTTTAATTATCTTCAACTTCAACTTGAACTTGCAAATGACCAGTTGATGGTCTGTTCCACAATCAGCTCCTGGCCTTGTTTTGGCTAAAGATATTGAGCTTCTCTGTCGCCTTTTGCCACAGATGTAGTCAATCTGATTCCTGTGTACTCCATCCAGCAAAGTCCACGTGTTTAGCCACCATATGACTTACTGAAAAAAGACCTATGACTTATTCACTTGCAATGAGTAAGTCGTTGTTGTTGTTGTTATGTGTCATCGAGTCGGACTCGACTCATAGAGACCCCTCTTGGGTTTCCAAGGCAGTATCTCTATGGAAGTAGATTGCCCACCTTCCTTTTGAGGAGTGGCTGGTGGGTTTGAACCGCCAGCCTTCTGGTTAGCAGTCAAGTGCCTTAGGCACTATACTACCAGAGCTCCTGAATAAGTCATAGGTCTTGGAAAATTCCATCATGTGATCTCCAGCATTGTTTCTATCACCAAGACCATATTTTCCAACTACCAGTGATTCTTCTTTGCTTCCCACTTTTGTATTCCAATTATCAGTGTTAATAAACAACACATCTTGATTGCATGATTAGATTTACTCAAGTTAATTTGTTTCCTTTCTCTCTCATCTTTGATTCCTCTCACTACACTGAGAATGTTTATTCTGGAAGGTCAAATGTATTTCATTATGCCTTCTGCTTGCATTTTTGTATCATTTTATAGTTTATGAGAAATACTTCAATTCTTAAAACAATGTTGTAAGACAAGAAGGAGAGGTTTTATCATCCTTCTCATGAGGACAGAGAGGCTTATCCCATCTGCTAATGTCACATATAACTAACAGAGTAAGGACTGACACCAATTCTTTTTTTCCCATGTCTACACTATTCAATTGTTCTTTGCCTTGCTCATATTCTCTCTTCATTTGAAGAGTTAATATGATTGGGGAAAAGATATAGGGGTTTTCTAAAATTTCAAATACCTAGTATATTTAGTCATTTGTACAAATATTTTTATGAAAATATGTATCTGAAATAGTTTTGTCTGATGTTAATCAGTAGCATCCAGTATGCAAGGTATGAAGCTGTTGTTCTTGTTAGCTACCGTTGAGTGGATCCTCCATTCATCTGAAACCACGTACAACAGAATGAAACACTGCTATTTCTGTATCATCCCCATGACTGGTTGGGGATTGGACCTTTGTGATCCAAAGAGTTTTCATAGCCTGATTTTCAGAAGTAGATCACTAGGCTTTTTTTCTTAGTTCTTCATAGTCTGAAAGCTCTGCTGGAATCTGCTCAGCATCACAGCAACACATAGCCTCTACTAACAGGCAGGCTGTGGCTGCACATGAGGCACACTGGCTGGGAATTGAACTTGGGTCTCCTACATAGAAGATGAGAATTCTACCACTGAACCACCAATGTCCTATAAAATATTTACCAACACTCTTCCTTTATAAAACAGAAAGAAGAGTGGAAGACCTTGTGTATGTATGTTTCTGTGTGGTGGCCCAAAGGATCTCAGAAGAGTGGGTCCTTGCTTCAGTCTGCCTTTGCTCTCCTGTGCCCAAAGCTCAGTAGAATGGTGGGGAGAACTACTGCAATCCCAGATCACACCAGGAATTTCCCTTCAGAAAACGGAGTCTTAGTGTTAGTGGATATTCCTAAGGAACGGACAGACCAAATAGAGAATTCCCTTTCTTTAACAATAAAATTCTTTCCCTTCATATACACAAATGGCAAAATATTTCTGGCAAAATGGTGGTATGGAAATTGCTGTTTTAAGGATAAATTTTAATGCTGTCTGCTATAACTCTAATCTCTGGAGTATGAAGTGGATTAAAAAGGATTTCATTACAATTCTAATCCCCAAAAACAAAATCAAAGCTCATGGGCCCAGGCAAGGCTGTACATAAGTTTCTGGAGCTGTAATTACCAATGACAGAAAGTTGCTTTGGCTATCTATCAAGAGCTATCACAAATGAACAACTGAACATACGACTGGACGTAAAAATAAAGAACCTTTTTTCTAAGGTTCTGTATTTTGATTTTGTAAAACTGAAAACTTAAGTTCTGAATTTTTTCCCATAAATATTCACAAAATAAGAAATAACCATCATATAAAGATATTTTGTGACTCAGTATCTTAAAATATATTTTCAAGAAATACAATTATAATAAAGTTATTACCTGAACCAAACAAATTACCTGCAGATATGCTTTTGACTGGAAGACTTCTGGGTTTCGGTTTCACTTTCATCTTCTTTTCAATTTCCTGATCTTTATTTTGTGGCTCAGCTAAGGAATTTACAACAGTGTCTCCACCACCACCTGGTGCTACTTCTTCATTGTTTTTGATGGAAGATACTGGCTCACCTTTGATTATGTCACTGTTTGATTTCTTGGTTTTCAAAAAAGATAGTTTTGGAGAATTATTTTCTTCATCATCTGATATATGAAAATCATTCATTTTTTTCTTAACTGAATTCTCATCTACTGAAGTATCAGAGAAATCACCCAAGGAAACTAAAAAATGTAAAAGACAAAAGTGTTTTCAGTGGTATACTTAAAAGTGTTTAAACACACATGGGGTTGCCATGAGTCAGGAGAAGCTTGACTGCAGCTAACAACAACAACAACAAAGACACATTAATAAAAATAAGTACGCTATCCTTAAAGACCACAAATGAATTTACAAGCATGAATAGGTACAAATCTATTTTAGAAATAGATTTCTAGCTCTAGAAAACAGCTTACTTAGGCAGTTTTTATTGGCATTTATGATATAAAAATTTCAATGTTATCACTTTATTAAAAAATATATATTTCTTAAGTTCCCAGAGTATATCAAGTATTGTGCTTCCTCTGAGAAAAATCACCTAAAGGCTGCCCAATCAGCCATGGGACATTCAAACTGGACATTGAATTCTGTAACTTGTATTTGCATACAATTTTATTATATAAAATCAAATGCTTGTAAATGAAAGATTTTTAAATAGTAACCTACTAATTATAATTACTTTCCATAAAAATTAGGGAACTGTAATTTCATCTAAACGAGATTATTAAGCTCTACTAATAGGGAGCTCTGGTAGCATAGTGGCTAAGACACTTGCCTGCTAACCAGACGGCTGGCGGTTCAAACCCACCAGCCACTCCTCGGAAGGAAGGTTGGGCAATCCTACTTCCGTAGTGATACTGCCTGGGAAACCCAAGGAGGGGTCGCTATGAGTCGGGGCCAACTCGACGGCATATAACAACAACAACAACAACAACAAAAGAATAATAAAGAATGCTAAAGAAGGCTGGAAGTTCAAACTCACCAGCCACTCCTTGGAAGGAAGGTTGGCCAATCTACTTCCGTAGTGATAATGCCTTGGAAACCCAAGGAGAGGTCGCTATGAGTCGGGGACGACTCGATGGCACGTAACAACAACAACAAAAACTTAGCAATCATTTAATTGCTGCTCTGATTTTTTTTTTTTTCACATAGAATATTAGAGTTAGTCATTGAATATTAAAGGAATAAAACACTGAACTTCAAATTTAAAACACTGTATGCTTACACATGATGGCTAAAATGTTAATAGTCTTAGCAAATAAAAAATGTTAATACTCTTACCAAATCAAAAGAAACCAAAATGAATCAAGTAATTAAATCATACATGTACTGAATATAAAACATGGTGTCTTTTTTTTTTAAACTCACTTCTTGTATCAGAGTCATTTGGATTACAGCCAAAGATCAGATTTATCAAGTATCCCAGCTGATTCTGATGTGTATCAAGTTTATTTCTGTGGTCTCAATTACTCTGTAGATGTAGGAGACTCCAGAAGTTTGACCTTAAAGCCAAACTTGTCATATCTAATGTGAGTTACCAATAACAGTCATCCCTTTACTGCAAACATGGTGTAAGTTGATTTTTATTCCTATGTACACATTTGGAATCAACTTCTTGAAAATTAAGAGTACTTTTCTACTCTTAAATAGTTAGAAATCACAAGCCAGTAATTTATCAGTATTATTTGAAGCAGTTCCCCCCCCCCCCGACAGTCTGAATGTAAAGGAAGGAAGAGCAAAGCAAAAAAGTGGTTTTCTTTTCCATATTTTCACATACCAATCTCATCACTGTCAAAGTCATCTGAGTATTCAGAGCTCCTTTGTCTGGCTGAGCGAGCTGTAATTGCTTTTATTAGTTCATCCTGAAATGAGATGATTAAAATCAATTCTCATCTAAATTTGGAGGTCTCATATTTAAAATTCATTATTTGAACACATAATGCTTAATTAATGACTGCCTTCAAACTCAAATTTCATTCAACTAACAATATGATCACTGAAAGTCTGCTTTACACCAGGTACCCAAACCCTCAAAATCAATGCAAAACACAACAGACAAGTTTTCTACCCTAATGGAGCTTACATTTAAGTAGGAGGGAATGGACTATATCAAATAAAGTTATTACAGTTATTATAAAGTTATTATAATGGAGTAATAACCAAGTGGACTCAATTAAGACAGGGTTTTTTTTTAATAGCTTTTGATTCTGCATATTGCAGAAAAACATAATCAATATTGCACATTTAGAGACTTACTTCAAAATGGTGATAATCTTAAAAGAGAAAATTAAAATGTTACGTTCCAGCCCTCTCCCTCAAAGAAAGATTTTATACTTAACCTGAAAACAGCAATTTAAAAGCTGATTTAATATTTAACTTAGTAATAACATAGTAATTTGGTAGTCTCAAACTCATATATAAACATTTTTAGTAAAAGATCCCAAACATGACCCTCTACAAAATTTCAAAATGAATCAGTAAGATGTACTCTTGCTGTATATATGCACTGTTCCCATAATCACTCCAAGTCCATCATTCCTAACAGTGTTTAAATTGCAAAATCAATGAAAAATCAAAGTACTTTGAAATACTTTACCTGGAAAGTAGTTCTTTTGGTGGCTTTTGGACTTTTTATATATGCCAAAGTTGTGCTAAAAACTTCATCAGACATAGTGTAATTTTACTTTTTACATATAAAATGTATAACAAATGATTCAAATAATTCTGATGGTGACTGAAATATACAAAAAACAAATGAGATTTTTTTTGCATGCTTCGGATTTGTATTACTATCTCAGCTGTCCCCTCAAAAAAAACAAAACACAAGAACAAGAAAAGCATCTCATATAAGCACTGAATTACAATATTAATTTAAAAATATAACCATACTTTTGTAAAAAAAAAAAGTCAAATTCTCAAAGTGGCCTTGTTTTCAAAAAAGAAAATCCAAATGGAAGCTGTCCTAAAATAATTTTGCAACTAATTTAAGGATGGGAGCTCTGGTGGCGTAGTGCCTACGCATTTGACTACTAATCAGAAGGATGGCGGATCAACCCACCAGCCACTCCTCGGAAGGAAGGTTGGGCAATCTACTTCCGTAGAAATGAGCCTTGGAAACCCAAGGAGAGGTAGCTATGAGTTGAATCGACTCCATGGCAGTGTCTATTTTTCTTTGGTTTAATTTAAGGATGAATAAGTAAATATCTATAATTGATTAATATGACTCAATGTTGACACCTGATAAAGAACACCTGATAAAGTATTTTTCACCTTCGCTCGAAAAATATAACTGTATGCCTATAAAACAGTCAAGACTTATTTTAAAAGCTACCAAAAAGATAGTGTCAAACTTGTAACTAAAACGTCTCACAAAGAAACACTGCTTGCAGAGAGCACTACTGACTGACAAGGACAGAAAACGTCAATACCAAAGTACAAATAGCGTTCTCTTATCTTTTTCAAGCTACTCTTCCATCTCGTACAAGTGTTAACACATCTACTTAACACAAAACGAGCATTACAGACTGGCTGCAATAACACGACGGCACAAATGGTCCCTTGAACGTTTCTCGTGCTCGCAGGGGAGAGGCCTGGGTCTCGACTGTCCCGTCGCCCAGCCGACCGCACCCAGCCGGGCCCAGCCTGGTGGCGCCCGCGTCCCCGCCCGCTCCGCACCGAGATGACCCGCCGTTGCGCCCTTGTGTACTCATACTTGTGCACACCCAAGCGCGTCTCCGGCCCCAGCACTTCGCATACCTCAAGTCCCGAGTATTTTACCTACGCCTGCCACTCCTGAGGCAGGCTTCTTAAAGCGCTGAGGACCGAACGGCTAGCCTCAAACTGAGCCGGTGCCTCTCACCTTAGCCTCCGCCAGGCAGCGCCTGGAAATCCAGCTAGGGACCCAGCAAGGGGCGGGACTAAAAACGGAGGTGGGAGGCGGTTGCTAAGGAAACAGCGTGTCTCTGGGAGGAAGTGACTTCTCTGCTGCTGGGGCCTCTTGGGTACCCATCACCGTCTTTTGACCGGACGCGTCTCTGGGACAACCGTCCTAGTGAAGGAAGTGACATCATCCCTCTGGGTCCTCGGAGAAGGTTATGTTATCCATCGCCGGTACTTTGCGTGTTGCCTAGGAGGCAGAGTGCTTCTGCTCCGACTCCAAGAACCTTACCCTTGTCAGTGAAGTAAGGGACTTTATCTGCAGATGCATGCGGAATGAAGCCACAGAATTTAGGACATGAATTTATGTGAATTAGTATAAGGTGTCAGTAGATGGATCAGAATAGAATGATGGTTATGTTTGGAGGTTCTAAGAATGAAACTGTACATTTGAATTACGGGGCTCTTTCCTTTATAACCCGTGTAATATAGGGCAAGTTAATGACTCCTTATCTCTATACTTTTATCTGAATAAAGGGGATAATATTATTAACCACCTTAACAAGTTGCTGTGAGGACTTAATGACATGATTCAGGTGGAATACCTGGAAGAGTGTCTGGGAATGTACTCAGTGAATGTTAGATATTCTTTTTATGCAACTCAAACACAAAAGGGGCAGGCCAGAAATCATCCGTAGTCAACACAGCCAAAAACCGTTTCAGTTTGTCTTTACTGTAAAGTTTTTCTCTTTACCTAATGGGTAATCGGGAGCTCTGCTAGCATAGTGGCTAAGACACTTGCCTGCTAACCAGACGGCTGGTGGTTCAA